AATAGAATAGAATAGAATAGAATAGAATAGAATAGAATAGAAATACTTTATTGATCCCCAAGGGGAAATTCTGTAAATGCTGCTTACTTTACTCAGTAGACACCCAATAGTTGACTTTATATTTAAATATACAGTGGGAAGAGATGAATGAATAGAATACAGATGAGACATATAGATTTAAGTAATTTTGATATAATATTAAACATAGATTTGTTGTTGTTTTTAAACAGATGGAGCCAAGAGTCACATGTGATTAGTTTAGAAAACTAAGGTGACAATCTGATATATCTTCCTTTTTTCACCGTTTCTGGTTGTGATAAATAGAGATTTGAAAAGGAAAAGAATTTTGGGAGATTCTTTAAAGACAACATGCTGTTCAAGCATTCAATTTGAATTGAATTTGAATTATCATGTTTATCAAATATAGTGACAGCACTTCAGAAAAAAACAACAAATTTGTGATTACAATGTGCCGAGTCCTTGTGACTGATTGTGGACAGCACATGGTAAAGAATAAACACCACAATATATTTTCACATGGTCACCTAGATAATTCTCTTACAAGTGTTTTGTCTAAATGTGGTCATCATCTGATGTTCCTCTTCTCATTACATTTTTATTCAAAGGAGGACCTAAATACACAGCAGACACAGGCAGTTTGTAAAAAGGAAAAGCAAGCTTTAATGTAAAGCAGATTCAGATTAAATCCAGTCTCAGTCCACAGAAGTTTCAGATGGATTTACCCTGTTTCACCCTCCTGAGGAGAAATCTAGTCTCGGATCTGGGTCTGAATTGATGCTGGCCCCAGACTATCTGCTATTGTGAGAGGATTACAGATTCAGTCGTAAACCTCCCAAAGTGTTTGTAGACTCACCGGATCGGATCACCCTAATTAGTATCAGACATGTTTGATATTTACAAAGTAAAACCAAGACAGATATTTGAACTGGTTTTTTAAAGGTCACCTCCAGTTCCTATCAAAAAATAGACAAACTGTGCTGCTTGTGTCTTGCCATCCGTTTTCTCATCCAGACTCATTCAGCCTTCTGCTTTTGTTTTGTTCTCACTGCAAATTATTGTTCATGTTACAGTAATTTGTTGCACCATGATCTTCATTTTGTTTTAATTTCCTTCCCTGTGAGAACACGTGACGTGGTGCTGTGCCCCCTGATTGCTCCCGCCAGCACAATAATCTTAATAATATCCTGTCGTGTGCGACGCATTAGAGACAAAGCTATCTGTGAGGTCTTTTATGTGTGGCCTGCAGTCTGATTGCCCGAAATCTACAGGAGCACAGGCAAACATAAAATGTAGGAAAAAGGTTTAACACTGTCAAGAAAAGTCAATAATTCAAAGCTGAAGCAGGCACAAAGAACATGAGCATGTAATACAAGGTAAAATACCACAAACACAGGCAGGGAAATCATGGAACACAGACACACTGAGAAAAAAGGAGTTTATGTAAATGAGTACATGAACAAAAAGACAAGGGAGACAGGGGTACACAGGTAAAACACATTCAGACAATCACAAAGGTGGGAGAAACACAAGTGCTGTGTTGGAATCTAATTCCTTCCAATCATCTTTTTTTTTAGGAAAACCATTGACATCTAAATGTCTAGCTTTACTTAGATTTTTAGGGCAGAGGAGGATGCTAAACATGAGCGCTACCATTGTTTACTTTGGCTTTTCAAAATCAGAAACTTGTCGGAAACGGTCCCAATGTGTTGTGCCATCTTACATTGAATTGTGATGCACAGGTGTGCTTAGGGTGAAAGATAAAATGTTCCACTGGGTTGTTGGTTACGCTGCTAGTTAAACAGTGTGAAAGTTTGAGGTTTGTTTACAGTGTTTGATGAGGAAGTGGTAGTTTATGAGTTATGTAAGTCTTTGTGGCTGAACACCAAGCAGTTGGCTGTTAAACATGTACTACCAACGAACATACATTTTTGTTTGTTTGTTTTTCTGTTTCTGCAGTAGATGTTGAAGCTTTGTACATAAAAGCACCTCTATGCTTTTGCGCCTCCAGATGTCTTGTTTTTTGCCCCTAAACAGCTGTCCAACTGTTTTTGTAGCATTCCTCTCAGTTGGCAGTTTGTGTGAGTGCAAAGCCGATGCAAAGTGACAAGCTGCTTGTCTTTCTCTGTAGTAGCTGAATGTGTCATTTCAAAGCTAACTCTGGGTAACTTTTAAATGCTGCCACCAGCAACATGCCATTTAAAATATGTTTTGTTTTACTGTGCTTACTCAAAGGGAATCCTCAAGAAACTTTGTATAATTGTGTAAGTTAGGCGCCTTGGGATGACACAGGTTAAAAACTGATGCTACATAATGAAGTTTGAGTTAAATAGAAGCATTTTGTGTTTGATCAACTTACCAGGGCATGGTGCTGTACTGCATGGTGCTGATAACTTCTGACATCACAAAAAGTTTGACTTAACTTAATTTGGTGATTGTGTTAATGCTTTGTGTGAATCACTAAAATGTTCTTTTATTTTGTAGCAAAAATTTTGAAAAGATATATCTAAATAAAAGTGGAAACTAAAGGTATCTTCAGTACAAACCAGACTGAGGCAGTGAGTCTCTACGAGGTCTACAGGCTGCAGGAATCAGGAGGAATATTCACAGGATAACAAGCTATCAGAGTCTATTGTGACTGGCACATTAGTGAATCTGAAGAGCCCGAGGCCCAGGTGGAGTCTCAATATTGACTGGCATGTTTACATGTCTGTATGCCTTTCCTTGTTTTTATTGACTTGGGACAACTGCTGTAATGTCTTCCCATAATCCTGTTTATTGTGGGTTTGGTTTCTCTATGTAATGAGATGAGCCACTAATTAATTTAATTATACTGAGTTTTGAATGTGTTAAACCACATCTGAGGCTCTGTGAAACTGAATTAAATGTGCATAAAATGAGTGTTTTCCAAACATTCTGCCAATGTATTTTTATTTTTATTAGAATTTCACACCTGATTTTTGAGATGAAAATAAGTAAATACAACCTCTGCAGCAAAGAGGGTTTATTTTTTAAACCAATCAAACTTGATAGACCATGTTATCCCAACGTGATCTATTTTTTTCAGTCTTCGAGTGCCCCATAAATGTTCATTGGGGCTGAGGTCAGGTGATTGCTCTTTAAGTGGTTCTTGCAAAGCTTTGAGGTGTGTTTTTAACAATTATCCTGCTGCAGTATGAAATCAGATACAAACCAGAGTGAAACATGTCTCTAACAGATGGAGTGCTGTTTCTCAGGCTTTGGTCACAGTGGAGTTGATTCAGTGCAGGTGTTCAAGTCCAGAGTAAGCGAAGCACCTCAGAGTTTAATATTCCCAGTAGCATATTTCACTGTGGGTTTGATGCACTGCAGTATGATTCTCTCTCATGTTGGTCTCCTTACATGCACCTTTTTGTCAGTGCCACTAATCTTCAAGTAGGAGTTATCAGTAAATAGAACTCCTTTCATGATCCATTGTTAAATACTACTAACTCTTAGCCCATGTAATTGTTTGTCCTCATACTCCCTCCTGAAAAGTGCTTTATAGCCACTAATCATCTTGTGACTACGACTAGACAGCGCTCTTTCAACAGGACTTTTGCTGATTGGAGTCGTGTTCTTTATATAGCAAATTCTGTCTTTACCTGGTTAGTGGTTAGAACTATCGCCTCACAGTTCAAAGGTCCTGGGTTCAAATCTTGGTCTGGGATCTTTCTGAGTGGAGTTTGCATGTTCTCTGTGCCTGCCTGGGTTCTCACCGGGTTCTCCGGCTTTCTCCCACAGTCCAAAGACATGCTGAGGTTAATTGGTGATTCTAAATTGTCTGTAAGTGTGAATGTGAGTGTGCTTGGTTGTCTGTCTCTGTGTAGCCCTGTGGTGGACTGGAGACCTGTTCAGGATGTGTCCTGCCTTCACCCTACGTCAGCTGGGATAGACTCCAGGCCCTCAGTGACCCTACAGAGGATAAAGCAGTGTATAGATAATGGATGGATGAATATATTTGTACTTGTGATGATGTTCCGATGCTGTTTTTCCTGCTATCACATTGCTAGCTAGTGAGAAATGTTCTGCTGGAAGCTTTAGACACAGCCAGCAGGTAAACAATGACTGCAGGTTGATTTACTCGTCATCTGAGTTTCATCTGAATGAAAGAAAAGCTACAACACAAAGGAATATGACCTTTGTACAGTAAGTTAAGATATTTACTGCCATGACTTTGCTTAAAGTGGTTGCTCACCTTGAAACAATGTGCAGTCTTAACAATTTCCTCTTCATTTAACAGCATATAACACCTGTCCTTAAAATATCAATTGAGTCATCATATGAGAATATTTACAAATTCAGCCTTCGGGCTTTGTGATTTCCACTAGACCTTCACATGAAGGTTGACTGGGATGGGCTGAACAGATGAAACTGGCTAAGTGGGATCCATTTAGATCTTTTTGAATTAAATGTTTATGGCTGTTTACTGAGAAATAAACCAAATTTATTCTACAGTAGGTAAGTTAAGAAATCCACACCTACAGTGCACCATGACACTGGCACGGGCTGTCCCTGCATTAGCCTGACACTATACAACTTCTAAACTGTGGTTGTTGTACTTATAAACAGGTCAAAAAGGAACCAGCCTGAGAGCTATTTACACTTGGAGTTTTTCCCACAGTCAGCATTTAGCATTTGTTATTGTCTGTCTTTTTTTCTCATCTCATGCACAACTGGCACACATTTCATTAAAAACAGCATTTTCTGGGCTGGCTTACATTTGCATGTACCAATGCTGTAGCTTTGTATTGTATCTGACACGTGTTTGTTGAGATTTAGAATGTTTGATCTGTTGACATTTTCAAACTTGTTTTCGTCTCTGGGTTGGTGAGTCAGCATCTTGTCAATGGTGGTATTAATGATGTAGTTTCAGAGCACATTTTCTGTTTACGCAGATCTCCAAAGAGGTATTGTACGGCAGTCACAGTCCAGTCCACACCCTGCACAGTCTGCAGGGATCCATGTCCCCGCCCATGGTGCGTTCCATGCCCTCATCCCCCTCAAGGATGGCATTTGGTGGAGGGGGCAAACGAGGGGGCAGTGGAATGATGGACCCAGGCAGTGCCACATTACCACGGGAACACCTGGTAGGGGCAGGGCGATCCAGCACCCTGTGCACCAGCAGCAGTGCTATCCTAGAGAGGAGAGATGTAAAGCCTGGTGAGATACCTGCTATTTTTTTCAGCACAAATCAAGTTGAGCAATTTTTATTTACAGTCAGGTCCGTAAGTATTTGAACAGTGATAAAATTGTCATTATTTAGCTGCTGTACACCACCAAAAGTTGCCAAAGTGCTTGCTTAAAGGAAATTTTGAGATTTATTGGGTTTCTTTCTATAAAATAACATCATATTATAAGGTATCCTGACTATGACTTAGGTTGTGAACTGTTTCTATATAAATAAAGCTCAATTCAATTCAATTTAATTTAATCCAATTCAATTCAGTTCAAAGGGTTTAGAAAAAGTACAGGTTTTGCTGTTGAGGAATTACAGATACTTTTACACAATCCGTCCATCCTCACAGGCCACTGGGTGATTGACTGATTAGCAGTTTGATGGTCTAGCCTGCTTCCTCATGCTTCCTCATTATTTCATGACAAATGAAGGAGATAAAAGGTCTGAAATCAGGTGTTGAAACTAAGTGTTACATTTACATTTGTAGCTATTCATGGGAATTGTCTGCATGCAGTTCAAAGAGGCCATCATCAACCTCAAAAATGATCCTGTTGTGGAGACTTGCATGTACATGATGTCCATTCATATCATGGTTATGTTTTGCACATGTAAACACCCTATCCTAGTTTCAGAAACCAGGAAAAAAAAAAAGACATTATCCAAGTTTTGTAAAAGGCAGAAATGCTGCCTAGAGTACCCTGATAGAAACACAAAATTATTGTGGTTTCTGCTGAACATTCTTTGTTGATACAGGACACTGTAGCTGGGATGTGTGCTTGTGTGTGTGTGTGTGTGTGTGTGTGTGTGTGTGTGTGTGTGTGTGTGTGTGTGTACACATGTGGGAAGTATGGATAAGCAGATAAGAAGAAGACCCATCTCCACACAGACTAAGAAGCAGCGGGGAGCTCAATGCCCTAAGATCAGTAGAAGGAACAGAATGGGAACAGTATTGAGCAGCAAGGACATTTTGAGCTGACCATAACCCAAGAGACCAGTGTTTAGATGCTACCCCAACAGATGTCATTACAACTGCATCGATCCAGCTGAAGATGGAGACTGTGCCCAGACTAAACATAGTGAAGCCTGCCACCACCCTGGCTCACTGGCAAAGTCCCATCAGAAGAAATGTTAGCAAGTTTTAACATAGCTCTACTATACAACATAGAACCTTCTCTCAAGCATCATAGCAACTAGACTGAGCAGGAACATGAGTCAGCACAGGAGCATTAAAAACAACAGAGGGTCAACACACCAGCTATTTATTTACTTACTAACTAGCTAGAGTCACCCAGGACTAGACAGACCAGCATAATCACTGGATTAACTATTAGAAACCCTACAATTCAGTGCCCCACTCACAGATACTAGAATGGCACTATAGGGGGCTAGCAGAGCACTGATAGCCCTATTTGAGAACTCAGTGCAGCAGTGTAAATAACACTGGAAGTGGGGTGAGAGGATTGTTTTTTTTTTGTTTTTTTTTTAAATACACATACAAACAAATATATATACAACACATAGATTTTATTCTGAGTGTACATGTGGAATATTTAAATATGTGAGATTAGTGATTGCTTTTCAAGGAAATGACAGATAAAAAGATAAAAGTGTGACAAACTGATATGCAGCTTGGACTTTGTTCTTTTTGTCCTGATGATTCTGCCAATTAATGTACTCAGAAATGTGCTTTGATTTGGGCCCTGTTAGTGAGGAAATGGAGAAGTATGTCAGCCAGCTGCTTCAGGCTCTGTGGGAGAGAAGAAGACAGAGAATAGGCACCTGCCAATGGCAAATGCTCATGCTACAGTGATCTGGAATTGAAAACTCAGGGCTCTGTTTGGCATATGCAGTAGAATGTGGTGGTGTACGACAACATTTTTTTTTGTGTGTATGATGCACTGAGCTTATTTCCCCAACTGCACCAGTTTGGTTTCTGGGTGACATTACTCTGGAAGCATAGTAGGTCAGGTGATCAGATCAGCCACTTTTCTGCCAAAATAATTTGGTCCATTTCTTTGGTGAATGCATTCTCATGTAAACCTCTCAAATTGCACAAAGCCCTTCATTCAAGTCTTTTATTGTTTAACCCTCAGTAGTAGTCAGACAGAATAAAGATTTGTGTCTGATTCTGCCAGATCTGTATCCCACCACAGTGAGTAGTCCTTGCTATTCAGTCACAACAACTTCCTAGTACTATGGAGGTCTTCCTCATGCCACTGAAACAGCTCTGACCCATGGTAGCATACACATCGTACCTCTGGGGGTGTCTTGTGGTGTCTGGCACCAGGATGTTGGCATCAGGCCTTTGAGTGGCAGTGAACTTCTGTGGATCAAGCTTGTTTTGACACGTCGTTGAAGCCTGTTTACCATCACTTTGTTGTCCACAGGTATAAGTCTCTTAAGCTATGTTAGAAAAGCATCCAACCTTGGGAAGGCCAAATTTTCTGCAGTCCAGTCTGCTAATTTGGTAATGACCAAAAGTGAGAATGAAGCTTGCAAGTGTAATGCAAAGCAACCAAATAGAAGCTTAAGAAAGTTTTAAGCAGGAGTCTGTTTGTTAAAGCATTAATATGAGGAACACTGCCCTCCACTAATGTTCATAAGGACCTTCTGCATGAGTTCAAAGGTGTATCCAAGTTTCTTTGGATAGTTTATACTGACAGGAAATAGAGCACCCATCAGCATGGCGATGGAGCTGGGAAAGTCCCTCATACCAAACAGGATTACTACCACCAACACGTGCTCTCCTTTCACCATCACAATGCCAACTTCCATCCCCTTAGTGAACACTCATTATCAGTGGCCTATTTAAAGAAATAAATCATAACATTTATCACCTTTGGTGTAGAACGATAGCCTCTACATGGTACAAAGTAAAGACCTTCAACAATTAAAAAAAAAAGAAACCCAACAAATCAGAAGTTTCCTTTGAATTCACTTTAAGCACTTTCTTCCCAACGGTGTGAAGGAACAAAAAACTTCCCCTTTAACAGGAAGACCAAAAAAAAAACTTCAGCCAGAACCAGGCTCAAGGAGGGCAGTCATCTGCCACAACCAGTTGGGGTGAGGGTGGGGATGAAGGGCGTAAGGCAGTGGTGGAGTGGGGATAGGAGGATAGCAGATGGAAAACAGAAAAACACTCAAAAGAGAACAATAAAAGCGGAGGTCGGTGAGGCCAGTGACTTCAAGTCAGAGAAATAATTTATCAGTTATTATTTATTATATATTGTTATTATATCATTCGAAGATATTTCTTTATTAGTCTGCTTTTCATAAAAACTGATTTTGTAGACTTACTGTTCACCTAATAATAGAAAATCTATTTCAAAATATTTTTGAGAATGTAATGATGCAATCTTATTTAACCCTGCACCCTGCCAGCTTCCTTCATTGTGAACCTGACATACAATACTGATTTAGGTGGACATGAATTTTCAAATTAACATGTCTTGGTGTAGTTGAGGCTCTGTTAACTAGAAATTCCATGTTGTCACAACTTCAGTAATCTTTTGTTGTACTGACATGCAAAATTCTATGCAGACACATCACACACTGGGCACAATCTGGTCCAACCTGTCCCCTCTGGGAGGTGCTTCATAGCACTGAACACCAAAACAGTCAAAAACAGAACACGAACAGGACAAGAACAGCTTTTGTCAGGGCATCACTATTTACGTTGAATCAGTCATAAAACGCTGAACTGCTGTATATACTGTACACACCATTTATCGCAGACTTGTTTGTATCTCAACCCAGAAAAGCTGCTCTCTGTTCCATTGCACTTTGTCAACCTACCTCACATATGTAAGGTGTTAGTAACTTTTTGTTTATGTTTGAATACATGTATTTACACTTGACTTTTGCTCACTAAAATTATGCACTTAAACTCCGGTTCACTCTATTTTTATAAAAAAAAAAATTTAAAACTAAAACTTCCTTTAAAAACACTTTCAAAATGCTGTTTTACATCTATCCGTAGTTGTTTAACACTGACTGTCCTTCCATAGCCTGTTGCATGTGTGTTTTTGTTTTGTGTAAACACTTTGAGAGCTAAGTATACAAGTCAAATTCCTTGTATGTGTTCACATGCTCGTGTGTGTGTGTGTTTGTGTGTGTGTGTGTGTGTCAGATGAGGATGTTGGCAGCAGCAAGAGCATGGCCCTGGTGGTGCATGCTGAAGGAGGACCACATTACCCAGACTCCTACTGCTCATCCCTGCAGGATGGAGGAGGTCGTCATAGCATTGCCTCCTCCCAGTGCAGCGGTCCCTCCTCTCTCACTGCCGACATAGTGGATGGTGGGGTCTTAGGGATCCCAGGGGGATTGCAACAGTACCGCGCTTCCATTAAACCCTTGTTGGGCTATGGAGAGAGCATGGAACACCAGGCCCGCTCCCTGCACAGGTACACACAGTGATTTTGATTTCCTAGTACAGACATAGGTAAAAATGGGATTGATGATTGCTACAAAATCAGTTATGTTTCTTTCACTTGTGTCACATATGCAAGCAACTGATTGGGTGCTTTGTACATATAAACAGAACGTTACTTCATATAGAATGACAGGTAGACTGACAGGTAGAGCTCAGACTGCCCTTGTAAATACAGTCTGGATGGGTTTTAAAGTGTGTGATCGTGTAGTTGATGTGTGTAATTACAGGTATAGATTTTGGGATCTGTATTAATGGGTTTAGTTTGGTTCAGATTTGATTTCGCGGTAACTGCAGGTAATGGGTCAGTGCAGGTACCACACTTTACACGTGTAAGGCCTACACAAACATTAGTTAAGCTCAGGATTTTTTGAAAACTCAATGAGCTGCTGGTAAATCTGTTTATAGTGCAGCCAAACAAGCTCCTGTTGAAATCAGGCAACAATATTTACCTTATCTCCATCTGATTCCAATCCATGTGGGATCCAATTGGGGACTCCGGTTATGAAGACTGTTCATGTAAGCAGCAGTGTATGAATCCATAAATTATTCCATCTGCTTTTCCACTATACAGGCAGAAGAACAGAAAGTTTGGAGACAGCCAGCTTCCACCAATGGGAACCAAAAGCCCTTCCCCTTCCCCTCACAGAGCTGGTGAAGTCAGGATGATTGATGGACAGATCATTGGAGGGGTGGGCCTGGTGTCTCCAGAGAGGATGTCGCCAATTCGCCGGTCTCTGCGACGAGACAGTAACGGGGCCACAGTGGAAGTTATAAACAGGAACAGAGGGAGTGGATCCTCATCCTCCACCTCATCAGTTTTTGTTGACAGTCCCCTGGGACAACCTGAGAGATTGTTTCAGGGTCATGTGGCCACCAGCAACACCCAGAGGTGAGGTTAGATCCATAATTGTCTTACTTAATTGGAACCGTCAGTCTGAGCTACAGAATCCCCCTGATTGACCATTTTGGTTGATGATTAAAAAGCCTACAGTGCTGATTAGTCCCCTTGCTTTCAGAAATCCCCCCCTTTTTTTTCTTGCATCTTTCAAAATGATATTTGGGTGAGAGTGTTAATAATTTTGCATGTTTGGGCTGTTTATAAAATCAAACTTAACCTAGTTACAAGTGTTCCTCAAGTCTTAAATTACTCATAACTAATTTAAAGCAGGACTACAAGGTGGTTAGCATCATTGCCTTGCAGCTAGAAGGTCATCGGTTCGCGTCCCGGTGAGGACACCCGGGTTCTTTTTGCGTGGAGTTTGCATGTTCTCTCTGTGCAGCGTGGGTTCTCTCCAGGTTCTCCAGCTTTCTCCAACACAGTCGAAAAACATGTTGAGGTTAATTGGTGATTCTAAATTGTCCACAGATGTGAATGTGAGTGTGCTTGGTTGTCTGTTCCTATGCAGCCCCCCCGGGACCCAAGTGAGGATTAAGCGGTGTATAGATAATTGATGGAGATAATGGATAATTTAAAGCAGGTTGGACCACACCAACTGGTTCTTACACAGAACATAGTTGTTACTAAATATTTACTCCTGCAAATGGCTTAGCTGATAACCAGATAGTTGACAAAAACAACCTGAATAAATGAGTGACGAAACACCACAAATGCAGATTTTTTTATACAGATGTGCTGCAAGGTGAAATTAAGCAGTGAACAGCCAATCATACTCTTTACAAGCTCATGTACAAAGTATTCTGGGCAGGCACAGTTTAGTCTGATTGTGTATCAAGATGACAGGGGGAAGAGATGTAAGTAACCCTTGAACGAAGTCACTAAGACTGTTTAGGTGACTGGTGTTTCAATAGGAACAGTGACTGAGGTCACATCTGCATTTAAATCTTTGGGGAGGACATTAGTAAACAGAGTCTGAAACTGTTGTCGACAGTATGCGATCAGTGACCGTGATTTTTGAGTGTTTGAGAACGTCACTGGAGAATGCGACCAGACTGTGTAGAGAGGGGTATTGTAGTAGAGCTGAAGCATATAAACCCCTATGTACAAAGATAAATGGACATTTCAGAGTCAGGTTGTGCAGACACTACAAATACTGCTCTACAAAAATGTAGAAAAAGTTGATTGGTTATATGAGTACACCCAGACAGCGGTAATGGACTTAACCTTGATATACAGTAAGGTAAACCAGAGGCTCTGTTATAAAATAGAAGGCCTTTTGCTGATATGGTGTGGGTCCAATTGTGCTCTTAGAAAGAAGTGTCACTACACTTGAGTGCAAGGTACTTTGAAAATAATGGCAGTCATGTGGCCTTCACAGCAACCAGATCTCAACCCAATTGAACATCTGTGGGAGATTTTGAACTGTTCTTGATCACCATTATTGAAACACTAAGTGAGGGATTATGTTTTGGAAGAATGGAGTTTGGGCTGCAAGGTGGAGCGGTGGTTGCCTCACAGCTAGAAGGTTGCCGGTTCATGTCCTGGTGAGGACACCCGGGATCTTTCTGCGTGGAGTTTGCATGTTCTCCCCGTGCAGCGTGGGTTCTCTCCGAATTTTCTGGCTTCCTCGCCACACATGTTGAGGTTAATTGGTGATTCTAAACTGTCTGTAGGTGTGAATGTGAGTGTGCTTGGTTGTCTGTCTCTCTGTGTAGCCTTGTGTCCAGGGTGTCCCCTGCCTTCACCCTAAGTCAGCTGGGATAGGTTCCAGCCCCCCCATGACCCTAGTGAGGATTAAGTGGTGTATAGATAATGGATGGATGGATGGAGTTCCATCCTTCTAGTAGAGTTCCAGAGACGTAACGAATCAATGCCAAGATGCACTGAAACTGTTCTGGTGGCATATAGTGACCCACCATATTACCAAGACACTTTATTTGGTTTATGATGGTTTATGATTTAATTTATGATCCGTGTTATACAGCATCTATAATAAATTGCATACAGTGGGGTCAGAGAAACACAGCATTCTATTAAGACATGATAGAGCTACCACATTCTTCACACAAAATGATAGGAGGCTGTTGTTAATATACACCGATCAGTCATAACAATAAACTGACAAGTAAAGGGAATAAAGCTCCTTTCAAACATGGGACATGGAACATTGCTGGCTTCATCAATCCATTAATGTGGCGGTTTGGTTCAGACTTGTGCTGCGTTGAAAGTTACTTTGAAATGTTACTAGATCTGACTTAGTAGGATTGTTGGCACAACATTTACAGCAACATGACGAGTGTGAGCACTGAAACATGAAGCTGCTACATCAAATTCTGAACGTCGGAAAGAGGCTGAACGTTCATCGTCTTGTTACATGCAGTGCTCTGCTGGGAAACCTTGGATCCTTGCATACATATGCATGCTACTTACCATGTACTTAAACATGCTTGAAGACAAAGCACACTTCCTCAACAGCACTCCCTGACAGCAGCCACCTCCCCTGGCAGGGCAGAGGTTGGGTAATCGCTTTGTCTTTTTCTTAGGTTTTGTAGTGTGGTGGCCCCACCAAAACATGTGAAAAAGCCAAAGCGTTTACCCAACCTCTAGACTCCCCATATCCCAGTCTGATCAAACATCAGATGCGCCAGAACAAGCCCAATCCACAGAGGCCCCACCTCTCAACCCAAAGAACCCAAAGGGTCCACTGCCAACATCCTGGCCTCCTCCTGTGTTCTGTACTCCAATGGCAGCACAAAGGGGACCTACACAATATATTAGCAGGTGGCTGTAATGTTGTAGCTGGTTGGTGTAAAGGTTATTTGATGGCTGTATGTGTTCCTATTTTTCAGTGACCGGATGAAAGCCATGGAGGAGCAGATAGCCAGTCTAGCAGGACTGGTGCACCATGCTTTATCCATGGGACCAGATGTTCCTGGAGTCAAGGATGCTGTCAGGTCTGTTACATCTGCCATCATCTTTTTATACACCAGCAATGATTTAGCAAATTAATTCAACCATGAAAATGTTAAAAAATATAATTGAACTTTATCCCTGATTAGAGCAAGGATAGCTAAATTTACTGTTTATCTGTTTACCTGTGTCTTTCCAGTGAAAATGCTGAACACAAACTTGTAAACAACAGACTTGGTGAGATTGTTTTTTTTTTTTTATTGAACCCTGCCACTTAGAATATACTTAACATACTTTGAACATGTGGATAACCTAAATCATCATTCTTGGCTTTCAGGGGTGCCATGTGAACCTCAGAACCCTGCCTCTTTGATTGACAGCCTCAGTCCCACACCTCTAGCTCTTCAGGCCCCTCCCTCTCACAGCGGCTTGCAGCAGAACTTGGAGTCTGTGAGAAGGAATGTGTGTGAACTGCGACAACAACTCAACCAGCTTAAACAGTTACAGGTGCTGATCTGTGTGCTAATGACAGCTGATGCAACATAAGTCATATTAACAATTGCAATAACACTAATAACTGAACTAGCTGCACAATGACCTAACTGTAGGTAAACTCTGATTATTGATCCACGTGGAAAGCAGAATATACCTTGTATACATGTGAGCTACAGTGATGTCATTTGTGTTTCCCTTAAATGTCATGGCTCTCATTAAGTGTTTTTCAGCTGCAGCAAGGAGAGAAGAATTTCTGATGAAGTCACTGTATATTACCTGCTTAGCAGCAAACAGCAGTCAGTCACAATCCAAGACTAGTTAATGAATTTAGTGGAATATTTTGCAAAAAAAAAAAAAAATAAAATAAACAAACCCAAACATAACTAACTCTGGAGCCATTCCATGTGTTCCAGCTATCAAACCAGGAGAGTGTGAGTTCAATGGTGCGGATGGCAGGTCAGGAGCTGGTGGTGCTGATGTGTGACTGGTTGGCTCAATCAGAGGAGGCAGCATATAGACAGAGAGCTGAGATGGAGGAGGAGAGGATCCACTATCTAGCTACTGAGGAGAGAATACTCAAACAGCTCAGGTAAGACTTTATATTAAGTTCAGAATGTGATTTTGAGAGAACAAGTAGACACAAGACAACGCAATCGAAGAAAAATAAGAATTTTTTTGTAATAAAATACAAATGTGCTAGCCTTAGGACATGCAGTAGTTTTGTTGTCTTGGCCTAGTATGACCAGTAGCTTATGATGGCAAATTAATTAATTAATTAATTAACTTAGCCACAACATTAAACCCACTGATGGGTGAAGTAAATGGCAATGATCATGTCGATATTATGTTCTGACTTCTTCTTTCTCTCCTCTGCTCTCTGAGTTGTTCACAGAGAACAGGTGAGGGAGGGCCTGCATAAATTGTCTGTAGACACACACAAACACACAATCATTTTGCCATCATTTCAGAGGACATTACATTGACTTATTCATTGTCTCAGGATTTACTCTAACCCTACACATAACCACTATTTGTGGGGACTAGATTTTAGTTTCCAAGAAAGAGAGAAGTCTCTACAGTATGT